TGTTAATAAATAAGTAAATATATGGAATGACTTCCTACATTACAAATTCATGCAATGTTGCTATACTTCTGCCCTCTTCATTGCCAAGCAAGAATATATTTCACCTCTCATCTCCACCTAGCTCTGTGATCCCAAATGCTTTGTTCATACCTTTAACTCCCTTCTCTGCTTCACTGCAACCAGGTCATTAATTAACCTCACAGCCAGTGATTTTGAATGCCCCTTTATTGACAAGATAACCCAAATTAGGAATTATATCACCCCTCTTTCCTCTCCCTCTCCCTTTCAATAATCAGCCTCCATTTTGTTCCATATTCCACTCAACTCCTTTCCCCAGTTTCTGAACAAGAAGTATCTAAACTTTTTCTATTCCTCCCCTCTCACCTTTCCTTTAGTCTGGTCCCATCTCTAATGCATATTTTCAAACTCTCTCTGTCTACTGGTATCTTTGATACTGTGGACCCCGCTCTTGTTCTTCAAATTCTCCATAACCTTTGACTCTGTGACATACAAGTTTTCACCTTACCTTTCTGAATGCTCATTCTGCTTATCCACCTCTTCCACACTGCTGGTTTCAGTTGGTGTTCCACAGGTTTCTGTTCTTGGTCATCTTCTACTCTCCATAAAAAATGTCTCTAACTTTATTAACTCTTTAGCATTTCAATACCATCTGTATGCTTATTTATTTCTCCTCCCCTGAGCTATCAAAACACTTTCCAAACTGCTTCTGTTCCATCTCCAGCTGGATGCCTTCCCATTAACTAAAACTTAATCTTTCTAAAACTGTATTCCTCATTGTTCCCCCCTCAAATAGCCCTTCTACATCTACCTGCCTGCATGTCAATTGGACACTTATTGCCCAATCTCCTCAAGCTTGCTGCCTTGGAGTTATATTTGACTTAAGTCTTACCTTTTCTCCTCACATCAAGACCATCTCGAAATCCGGTAATTGCCACCTCAAAAATATTAGCTGCATTCATCCTTTTCTAGCTCAACATACAAATAAGCCAATTGTTCATGCACTTATTGGTCTTCCAAATACCCACATTGCCCCTCTTTAGTCCATAGTGAATGTTGCAGTTATACTCATCTTCCTGAATGACTCATACTTCCACTTCTCATCCCTTTATCAATCATTGCATTGGCTTACTGACCCTTCAGTTGCAATTCAAACTGCTAACTAAGCCCTCTTTATGCAGCAAATACACCCCTTTTCATTATCCTCATGCAAGTTACATATATAAATATTTAATTTATTAATTAAAGGATCACTATAGGGTCAGGAACACAAACATGTATTACTGACCCTACAGTGTTAACACCACCATCTACTCCCCATGGGCCCTTCATGCCTCCATAAATATAGTAAAAATCTTATTGTATTCAAGCCTGAAGTTGTAAATCTGCATGCTGACATGTGGTAGCCTGATCCAATCACAATGCTTCCCAATAGGATTGGCTGAGACTGACAAAGAGGCAGATCAGGGACAGAGCCAACATGATTCAAACACAGCCCTGGCCAATCAGCATCTCCTCATAGAGTTGAATTGAATCAATGAATCTCTATGAGGAATGTTCAGTGTCTGCATGCAGAGGGAGGAGACACTGAATCACAGGATGCTGTGCACAGTGCTGCCCTGTGCTCTGCTGACAGCAGATCTGAGTGGATGGGGGCATATTATGCCTCCATCACCTCCAAAGTCCCTCTGGTTCACTCTGAGTGACTGCAACTGGAGGTGTTCCTAGCTTTCAAAGTAGACACATATATACACACACAGACACATATATACAGACACACATACATAAACACACACACACATATACAGACACACATATGCACAGACATACACACAGACAGAGAAACATTCATACAGACACACAAACATACATACATACAAACAAACACACACCTATGCAAAATATTTTAGTCACCCTCCTGTTTCTTACCTTTTAGATGCAGGAGCGTACCTTCCCAGGGGTTGCCCGCAGAGCCTTATAATTTGGTTTACTATAACCACTCCATGTTTGCATTTTTTAAAACTCCTTTATTATCTTTTAATGTATTACAATATTGCACTGTTCTCTGTACTTTGTTTCTTTGCAGATTTATGAAAGAACAATATATTTAGTTTGTACATGTATATCTAAAGGTTTTATTGGCTAATAACCGCATTGGTGATTGTGCTACACCTGTGTGGGTCACCAATTGTTTTTATAATGAGGGTATCTTAGTGATCACTTATACACATTGTTTCTTTTTTTCTGATACATGTTATAGATTGTGATACATATATAGAATAATTAAATCGTTTGCACACCAACATATTAAGTGAAATAAAAGTATGTTCACAGTTATTATGGGCCCAAACGATCCTTCTCTCCTTTATAGGTTGACTGGTTCTTTGAATTAGTTTTATTAAAAAAAAAAAATGAAAAAAAGCAAATTTTAAGTATCCCCTTTCTCAGTACCATACTTCAATATCATATTTGGGTGTATTAACTAACAACTGAATTAATTGTTTAGCGAATACAATCCTATATTTTCCCATATATACAATTCTAATTTCCCCTGAGAAAAATACTTTCTGTCTGCTTGATAAGTATTAAATTACATATTAATACGTTTACCACCTGATTTTTCATGGTATATAAATATGTTATGTGTTTCTGCTAGTTGATGTTTTTGCCAATTCAGATCATGATCGGTGACCAGAAAATGCACAGATGAGAACAAAGTGATTGCAGTATCCTGCCTGATGTAAAAGTCAGATTTCCTGGAGCAGTGTAAGTTAATATATGCATATTTTATAACGTGTATATTTATACTTAAAATGCTCTAAATAGGATATCTTATTAATCCGGCCCTTTGAAACAGTATTATAAAATCTTTAGCTGTAAAATTAAGCAAAATATATTGCCAATGCAAGAGTGTGCTAATCTTAATATAAGATGCAATCACAGTTATCCGTTTCTGATTTATCTCAATGTGATAACTTCCAGCAACCTGTATGTGATTTGTCTCCTTATCGCAAACAGAGCAGAGAAAAAAAAAAAAAAAAGCCAAAATCGTAGGTCTGCTTCTAGTCTGTTTATTATCAAATTGGAAAAACCAAACAGTAATATATATTGGTATAATACATCAAAATTCGTTTTTATCAGTGTTGAAGTAATATTTCTGCTAACCAATATCAATAGACATGAGCAGTCACCTTATCGCTACAGATTATTTCATCCCAAATTTAACTCAGTTTTTCATAGGACTCCTAATCTTCCCCAAACCACAGATTACTTATGCTACAAAGAGCACAGCTTCAAACAACCTTGAATTTCTATCTAATAGTAAGTTTACTTTTTGCATATCTGTTCAAGTGAACTTTACTTGAGGTCATGGGTGTAGAAAGCAGAGCAAATACAAGGAAAGGTAAAAGGAACTTAATATGTATAGCTTGTAGGAAAGACGAGATGGGGGGATATGATAGAAACATTTAAATACATAAAGGGAATCAACACAGTAAAGGTGGAGACTATATTTAAAATAAGAAAAACTACCACAACAAGAGGACATAATCTTAAATTAGAGGGGAAAAGGTTTAAAAATAATATCAGGAAGTATTACTTTACTGAGAGAGGGGTGAATGCATGGAATAGCCTTCCAGCTGAAGTGGTAGAGGTTAACACAGTAAAGGAGTTTAAGCATGCGTGGGATAGGCACAAGGCTATCCTAACTATAAGATAAGGCCAGGGACTAATGAAAGTATTTAGAAAATTGGGCAGACTAGATGGGCCATGAGAAATGAAGCCAAATCTTGCTCCCGACACCATTCACCAAGCCACAAGTTAAAGTCCCTAACACGCATCCGCGTGTCGTTCTGAGTGTTATGCACAAGCAGAATTTCAGAGAATGACAGTGTGGAAGAAACCTGCCGTATATCATTGGCAAAATACTACCTCTGAAACCTCATTGCAAGCCAAGTCATTTGTCCCTAGATGGACAAGTACATCCAATTCCCCTTCCTGCTTTGCTCGCTTAACAATTTTACGTCTCCTATCTCTGTGAGCAGTAGCTCCAGGAAGACATCTCACAAGACCACCATTGTCTATCTCCACACCTCTTATGATAGAATCCCCCAACAACAAATGCTTTCTATTAGGCCTCACCATAGTCTGCAAGCCTGTCTCCATCATACCACTACACTCGGTGCCTGAGCCTGTCTCCACAACACTGTCGTGGATAAAATCAAGTGTTTGATAATTTTGTATATCTGCCCCTGTCCAAATTGTTAAATTAAATGTGTGCACGCTTCCTAAAGTAATTCACACCAGACACAAGTTTCCAGGTTGATGAAATACTCAGGAATCTTTAATCAGGGAGCAGGAAGCCCCTTATAAAGCAGAAATACGTCATATGCAGAAAGCAAGATAACAGAGAAAATACATCTTTAATTGCCTAAGTGTTAAGTCTCTTATCTAATGCACAACCTACAGGGTGTGACATCACTGTCATCATGGGATGCTCCTCCAGATTCCAGCGCCATCTTGTAACATGCGGTGGTTAGTCGATGGGAGGGGGAATTTCTAGCAGCCTTTTTCTGAGCGGTTAATGAACACAGGAGGGGAGGGGCTGGTAGGGGGCTTCTAGCAGCTAGGTTGACACAGTAAACATTGAATAATAATGAATACAGTTATGCAGAGTAAATAGGCATTTTACTAAAGTTAATAAAGTTAATATTCTGTCCACGACACCACCACTACCCTCAGTGCCTGAGCCTGTCTCCACAACACCACTACCCTCAGTGCCTGAGCCTGTCTCCACAACACCACTACCTTCATTGCCTGAGCCTGTCTCCACAACACCACTGCCCTCAGTGCCTGAGTCTGTCTCCACAACACCACCACCCTCAGTGCCTGAGACTGTCTCCACAACACCACTACCCTCAGTGCCTGAGTCTATCTCCATAACACCATTACACTCCGAAAGTGCTGAAAATGAATTATGTAGAGCAACAGACCTTTTATCCACAACTCTAATTCTACCAGATCCTACAGTAATCCATCTGCCATTCCTAGTACGTCTCTGCGGCAGTGGCTTTGCAGCAGTTCCAGCCTGAGTTTGTTTACCAGATAATTTACAAATCTCAGACTTCAAAAATACAATCTCCTGCCACAATATAGAGAACTGTCTACAGATTAGACAGCATCCAAATCTCCAAAAATTTTAATCAAACTAATATTAATTTTTTTTTGTCCTCCTGTATACCTCAGATTACCTCCAGTTTATCTCCAGGATATCTCTAATCACACACTTTGGAGCAGCACTTAGATGTAGCAATTAAGCTATATTAGCCAAGCTAATGACCACAACCCTTATATAACTCCTAAAAGTACCACCCACTAGGAAAACCTGGGTAAGCCTATGCTTATTGGCAAACAATAGCTAATTAACCAACAATCAATAGCAAACACCTATCTAATCAAATGCCTTACCAATTACCAACAGGAAATCAAACCTTGTGCGATCAGTAACCTTATAGATGAATCTTACCTGTAACAGTAAAAAAGAAAACTCTTAGCAAAATCTTAGACAGTTGAAGATTCTGTAAAACTCTCCAGAATATCTCTAATCACACACTTTGAAGCAGCACTTAGATGTAGCAACCAAGCTATAATAGCCAAGCTAATGACCACAACCCTCATATAACTAACCACAACCCTTATCTTACTGTATTTTTTAGATAAAATGCAGTGTTTACATTACAGCTTAGGGATACCTCCACTGGCCTCTCCTCAGATGGCTATTATAAGTGCTTCCTTGGGCAATGCTGCACAGTGTGCAGTAATTCCATTCAGTATATCCATTGTCTGCATGGAGACACTGATCTTTACTCATAGAGATGCATTGATACAATTAATCTATATGAGGAGATGCTGATTGGCCAGGGCTGCATTTGGCTTGTGATGGCTCTGCCCTTGATCTGCCTCCCTAAAAAGCTCAGCCAATCCAATTTTTTCTTGAGGGAAAACATTGTGATTCATCTGATCACCACATGCCAGTAAATATGGCATATTGGGGCGAGCCAGCAGAAGCAGACTGGAATAAATGTAAGAATTTACTATATTTAGAGGGGTAAAGGAGTGGGGTGGATGAAAGGTGGGCTAGATGGTGTTTTAACACTATATAGTGTCTGAAATACATGTTTGTGTTCTTTTAATAAATGTTCATTAGGGGAAAGGTATTGTTATAAAAGACCGGCGCACCCTAGATTTTCTTCAATTCCTATTTTGATGTTTCAATTTACCCTTTGAATGTATTTAAAACCCCACTCTAAACACAAAAAATCAGCACACATTCTGGTTTGAAACAAAAATAGTTTTGTCCATGACTATGACTAAACACACAGTGCAGAGAAAACTCAGCTCAGCCAAACCATTTTTGCCAAGCAAAATATTTTTCAGGAATTCCAAATTTTATTCTTAATATCATTTCAGCTCAGCAGAATTTCAGTACGAAAAAACAGGTTTGGGAACAGAATCAGACAAACAAAAAGTATGAATATGTGCCAACTGTGTGCTAATATTAGATTATGTATATATTTGGTAGCAGATAGGAGCATCTTTCCAACATTTAGTTCTCAAATCAAGTGAGAAAAGTAACCAACAGAGGGAAATAAATTAGCAGCAGTAAAAAAAAAAAAATCTATATTTATAGATTATATGTTTAAAAAAATAAATAAATAAATAATATATATATATATATATATATATATATATATATATATATATATGTTACTTCTCATTTGATTTCTAAAGAAAATCAACATTTAGTGACTGTCCCCTAGCCATCAATCATTTTTTCCCCGTTATTCATCTCCTTTTTGCCCCACAGACAGAATTCAGAATCACAAACCTTAAATAAACATGCCTGGCCATTGCCCATTTTAGTTGGTTAATGATATGTGTACTTTTCGGCAAAGGGTTTTGGAATTTGACTGAACAACCTGTTGGCCCAAAGTTGGACATATTGCAGTTTGGATTGAAACTAAACTCCTGGTCTAGTTTTGACATGTATAAATGTTTTAGAAATTCTGTATGACCTGAAATCACATGGATAACATTGATCAGGTTCACCCAAGCATTCACTTTCCAGAGATAGACTGCAACCTACATCCATGTGAAGAGAAGATCCAAAATTATACTAAAATTAGTCATTGCTAACAAGACCTCTCATACTGACGAAGGCTGACGAAGTTTAACTCTGAGGTCATGCCTGCTGTGATACTACAGCTGTGTGTAAAATCAAGATGTTTCCTGTAAGCTCCAATAAGCTACTATAGGAGCATTGTCAGCACTCACATATCATCTCTCTTTAGGTACATTTAGTCTGACTTACCCCTGGATAGAGAAGCTGGTGTTTCCAAACATTTGAGGTGTACATTTAATTAGGTTCCAGTGTTCCTAAGTATTCTCTGTCCTTATCTCCTCTGCCTTGGGTCCAGGGTCGGTGCAACATTTTTTGTCTACACAGTCTAAAACGCATTTTGCCATCCCCCAAATTTGTCTACATCTCTGTGTCTATTAAACCCAATTTTTACCCATCTTACCCATACTTTTGCTATTTTTGCACATCTTGCAGCCTTTTTGTTTCTCTTTCCCTTTCTGCATATTGTGTTCCCTGTTTGTAATTTCTTTCATGCTTTTGAGCCTGATAACCCCTAAGGATGGTGTGTGTTCTATGCCATCTTTAAAGGGGTGGCTCTAAAGGCCGGCGATCGGCATTGCTTCCGGTCTGGGGGTACTGCTTGACAGCCCAGACAACCCCCCCTCGTCAAATTAGGCCCCTGTGGGCCATATGATCGCTCTGAAACGGCTGTCACATGGCCACAATAGGAGTCCATGCATCTGCCTAAACTGACAGGCAGTCTCCCTGTTGCTGTAAGATAAAAAAAAATAAAAAATAATATGTATTAGTAAATAAAATAAAAATAATATATGTATATATATGAGATATATACATATATCTATATATAATATGTATATATCTTGATGAATATTTTGATGAAATTTGCCAGATTGGTTATGTTGCCTTTAAGAGTGTATGGTAGCCCAGGAATGAGAATTACCACCATGATGGCATATCATTTGCAAAAGAAGACAACCTAAGGTATTGCAAATGGGGTTTATCCTGGCTTTTTTTTAGTAGCCACTTAGTCACAAACACTGGCCAAAGTTAGCATTCATAATAGTTTTTTGCATTTTTAACACATAAATATAAATGCTAACTTTGGCCAGTGTTTGTGACTAAGTGGCTACTAAAAACGACTGGACATACCCCATATTGAATACCTTGAGTTGTCTACTTTTGCAAATGGTATGCCATCATGGGGGTAATTCTCATTTCTGGTCTACGATGCAGTCTAAAAGGCATCATAACTATTCTGGCAAATTTCAATGTGTATAAACTGAAAAATGAAACATGCTATATTTGACTCTGTAACTTTCTAAAACACCATAAACCCTGTACATGGAAGTACTGTTGTACTTGTGAGGCTTTGCTGAATACAAATATGTACATTTGATTGCAGTAAAATCTAACAGTATTATGACATTCACAGTTAGGATGCCATGTAGAACTAAAAAAATCTAAAAAAGAAAAATCTTAATTTCTCATTTTTTTTAGATTTTATTCATAATGAATTATGTTTTATATATGAATAGTTAATGTGAAATGAAATCCCTGTTTCTCCTGAATAAAATGATATATAATAAGTGTTGCTGCACTCAATATGAAAATGGTGAATTACACTTGAACAGACATATAACGCTAATTCCAGTTTTTGTTTACATTTTGTTTTGATCACAACATGTAAAACTGGTTCAGCCCCTAAAGGGTTAACACCTTTTGTGGTCTATTATGTCTTTAACCCCTTAAGACCGGAGGGCGTACTATTACGTCCTCTAATAGGCGGCTCTAAACGCCGCCGGGCGTAATAGTACGCCCTCCGGTCTTTCTGTACTTACCCGGTCGCCGGTGGTCCCACGCCGGCGATCGCGGTGGGGGGGACTCCCAGGGAGCCCCCCGCGGCACGACCGTCCTCCAGGAAGCCCCACGGCCGTGTGAGAGTGGGGTCCTAGCGAGGACCCCACAATCACATGGCCGGGGATAGCTGGCTTCTGTATTGCCGGCAGGGGGGCTGCCTGTAATGACAGGTGGTCCCCTGCTGGCTGAAAATAAAAATGAAATAAATAAATAGTGTAAAAAAATAAATAATATATACTTAGATCATATATATATATTATATATATATGATCAAAGTATATATATACACATATACATACACACATGTACACCGTCTAGGTGTATTTTACTATTAATATATATATAATTATATATATATATTAATATCAAATTACACGTACACTGATACTGATTAAATATATATATAATTATTGTTATATATATATTTATATATATTATAAAAAAAATTAAAATGTAAATACGTTAAAAAATAAAATTACAAAAATAATTAAAATAAATAATTAAAAAATATATAGATGTGTGTTATTTCGTTCTAACTGTATTGTGAAATTAATATATATATATATATATCAAAATACACATAGAACGAAATAATATATATATTTATACACATAAATATATACGTATATATCACTATATAACTACCTATATATAAATAAAAATATTTAAAAAAAATTATATAGATATATACATATATATACACATACGTATATATATACATATATTGATTCTACATATATATATATGTAATATTTTTACATAATTAGGTATCTTAATTAATTACAATTAGCAGGACCTGCATGACAACCCATGCCGAAAGTAAAGGGAATTTAATTTGCTAGCACTATATTTAACCCTATAACTTTCCGAGACACCATAAAACCTGTACATGGGGGGTACTGTTCTACTCGGGAGACTTCGCTGAACACAAATATTAGTGTTTCAAAACAGTAAAATGTATTACAACGATGATATCGCCAGTTAAAGTGACGTTTTTTGCATTTTTCACGCACAAACAGCATTAAACGGACAATATTATTGCTATGATACTTTTTACTGTTTTGAAACACAAATATTTGTGTTCAGTAAAGTCTCCCGAGTACAATTACCCCTATGATGGCATACCATTTGCAATAGTAGACAACCCAAGGTATTGCAAACGGGGTATGTCCAGTCTTT